CACACACACACACACACACACACACACACACACACACACACACACACACACACACACACACACCCTGTCTAGATTAACAGCATATTTTTTAGCTTCAGATGGTAATTGTTTTCAAATGTACTTTGTAATTGAATATCAGTAACGGAACACAGTGGTACCTATCTTGATGGGTACAGAGCCAAAATAAGCATTGCCAAGAAGGAGGCAGGGGGAAGGATTTGTCACCTGCCGCAGGTATGGAGAGTAGGGAACTATTTCAAAGCAGCCCTCCTGAAACCGAGGACATGGAGGGTTTATTCGGGAGCCCACCCATGGTCCCTAGGCCAGCCCTTGGGTGGGCTCAGTGTAAGGTCACAGACAAAAAGGAAAGATGGTGTGTTGTTACTCAGTATGCCGAACTCAAGTCATGAGGACCCCTTAGAAAGGTTAAAATGGTCAACAAAGATACTTTGGGGTGTACGCAGCTGAGTCATAGAGGTGGCAGTGGACAGGAGCGCTTCTGGGCGTGCTGGCCCTCTTCAGAAAGTTTAAGCCAAAATAATAAAACAAAGGATGCTGTGAAGGTGTGTTAACATGGGACTTTGCCCTCAATGGTGCCTGCCTCCAACAGCAGGCATCTTGTAGGCCCATGGAGAAAGGAGCTGTGGAGATGATTTCAGTCACCCAGCCACAGATCAGATCGCATTGCCACCCTCACCAACAGGCAAATTCTCCTCATGGGTGCATTTTTATACATTGAACTCTGTGAGCTTCGGCCACACTCTATTCCTTTTTGATTTATATTATTATTTTCAGAGAGGGTCTCACTTTTTGTTTAAGGACCTGCCTCAGATCTATGCCTCCTACAGATGTGGGATTACAGGTGTGAGTGACCACATCCAGCTGGGCCTTGTATAAAGAATCTCTGTTGTTCTTATTTATTTATTTATTGCCAGTCTTGGGGCTTGAACTCTAGGCTTAGGCACTGTCCCTGAGCCTCTTTGCGGTCAATGCTAGACCTATACCATTTGAGCCACAGTGTTACTTCCCAAAGAATCTAAATGACTTTATCACTTGATACTTTGAAG